ATCATTTTAAGGGTAACAAATTAATAAATTATATGGACATCAGTTATCTAAAGCTAGTGCATGTTACTTTTGTGTTAATAAATTTAGGGTTCAAATTTAAGTAACTAAATAAAGGTCCAATTCCGCCAATCCGCCGTAATGCTTCGATTAGGTTTGCAATTCTACGTAATTTATGTACAGTAGCTGGCATCCAGGGTAAACCCTTGCTGACTTGATTTGTACCTGGAGGGGAGGATATCATGCGAAGAAAAGGATAAATCCAAAGGGGAATACTTGACCCTTTAATAGTTAGGGAACATTGCTATTATTCTTTTTTTTTTATAAGAATTGTCTTATATAATATCAATGTTATTAGTATTAGCTAATATATTACCAAACTTTTAACGCGTATTAGATATATTAAAACTTTGAAAGTTATAATTATGAAATTTCATTATAAAAATAAGAACACGATATTTCTTTTAATTCAAAGATAATGAATAAGCGAAAAGAGGCATACTTTTTAAAAAGGATACAGTTTGAGTAAAAAATAGCTTTGGAAAATAGTGGTTTCGTTCTATTATTAAAATTTATAATTTTATTATCATTATCGTTAGAATTTTTACTAATCGTGGTATCGGACATCAGACATAATATATAGTATTATTTGCTTTTGAATTGATTTTATAGTAATATTATCCTTAAACTGTTTTTCAGGAAAATTTGCCTGGAATTTCCAAATTACATGATAAATATTTTATAACACCTAGTTTATAATAAACCAGGTATAGAGACTGGACTCGAGTCAACTCGTAGCTTAAAAACATAGTCTTAACTCGAGTCAAGACTATGTTTTTTAAGCTACGAATTGACTCGAGTCCAGTCTCTAACCAGGTATAATTATTGATGCAAGTTTATTAGAGGGAAAATATTCGATATGAGCGATTTAGTTTATTTTACATTAATAATAAATCTATCAATCGATATTACAGTATTATAGTACAATTAAAAATTGATATGTAATAAGTTAATTTGGCTGAACAAATTTAATTTCTTGGTTTTCATAACACAAACCTTTTAAATAGACCGGTCGACTTTTTTTAAAAAAATTTCATATATAAAAATTTTATAAAAACATATAAAATTTTTTTTTGAAAGTTTCAAAATTTGACCCGGCCGGGTTATGAAAACCAATTAATTAATTTTATATGCATATATGAATGTTTTTAGCTATAATGTTATATTTCTTTCTATATATCGAAATTTATTTAAAATTTATTTGGCACATCATTTTATAATAGAAAAAATCAGACATCTTCTCAGTACTGCGATCCGAGTCAACCTTCTCGTTCTATCATTATTATTGCTTTGTTGGTGCCATCACTTATATTGTTCTTGTTTTATTACAGTCATTGGTGCCATCGCCTGTTTAGTTTATATAATTATAGCAATTAGTCCATTATACAACTAAGATGATGAAATTTAAAAGGGTGGTCTTCGTGCATAATCGAACGATTTTAATATTTAAGATTAATTAATTAATCATATATTAATACAACAATAATTCTAATAAAACTTACATCAAGAACATTGCAGACTACTACGTATGACGTTTATAATAACATAGGTGCATAAATTTTAGTCATGGTAAAGGGACGTATAGCACGTAAGCACACTGAATAAATTAAATTCTTTGGAATTTCATTCAATCTAGATGTTTAGAATTATTGACTTATTTGGCTCTATTCTATTAATCAAATTTTTGTTTAGTTAAAATGTACAAGCTGGGGGTCATCCCTATTTAGAATTTTAGGAAACGAAGCTTATTTCTAACATTATCACGTGATTACAGAAATCTATTGTGCATTTGTACGTAATATTGTTTCAAACAAAATTCAATAAGATAACTAAACCAATGATTTTCGTTTTTTGATCATAAACATAATAAACATTGTACAATCTAAATTATTGTTCTATTTAATTGCATTGTTTTTAGCAATTTATGCAATTTTTCGAGCTAATAAACTTCATAACAATAGTTATTAATAAATGCTTTTGGTATTGTATTATTTATTCTTGTTAATTATGTAACACAAGAGTATATAGTACATAAGTACTATGACTTCAAGGCCAAGAATAAGAATAATACTGATATGAACGCGGGACAATGGATATGTCACGATATCAAACAAATAACCTAATGTCTAAAAATATTATAGCATTATGATCTGCTTTAAAGTTGTAAAAAAGAGAACAATATAAGATGATATATAAACATAATTAACGTACAAAAAAATTCTATAAAAGGTTGAGACGAGTAGAACTTTTGTTAATATCTAACTTCCAACCGTTAATCATTCATTTGTATTTTTACTATTTCATTCTCTTTTAATTTTTCACGACACGACATCGAGAGCCTTTTAAAGTAAATATCTCTAAATCCTCTAAATCCGAAAAAAATGTCAATTGTATCTCACCTTTCTTCTTTCCAAGTTTCCGAGTGGCTCTCGGTAGTCACCTTACTCTTATGTGTCTATGTGGCGCACTTCTATTATCGATATTTCACTAGAGCAAACCCTCTTCCGGGACCCATGCCCTTGCCGATAATCGGAAATTTAGTATGTACTTTTTTTTATCAAAAAAAAATTAATAGGTTCCTAAATTTAACAATTTCCAATTTTTTTATTATCTTATTTTAGCACCAGATGGGCAAAGATCTTGCACATTGGGCTCACGAGCTCCAAGGTAAACATGGTGATATGTTCGAAACTTACTATGGTAGTCAACGAACAATCTGGGTCGGCCGTGCCGACCTCGCAGCACCAATTTTAGCAAGTTCCACAAAAAATAATTATTTCAATCGTGGTGTATCAAGTCCTGGAATGAGAGAAATTGGTCTTGAAACCGTTGGAATTGCCGCAAATCGTGATTATGAGTCTTGGAAATTTAATCGAAGATTTTTTAGTACCGTTGTAATGTCACCAAGATTTTTGAAAAAGTCTATCACAGCCACTGAAAAGTTGTTTATGGAAGCAGCATCATATCTTACTACTCTTGGTGGTGAAACTTCCGTTGATATGTCAAAGTTTTGGTTTAGATTTTTTGTGGATAGTATGTATATTTCAGCTACTGGAAACCACGCTCATGCTATGGCTGGATATTTTAATACGCTAGTTCCCGATAATAAACAAGCTGATCATCCTAAAGAACTTCTTGATCTCACTGAAGAGATCATATATTCTATTAAAAATGAATTTTTCGCCGCCTCTTTCATGTTCTTCTTTCCACCATTTATTCGTCATTATATTTTGAGACATTATAATACTAAATATGTTAATCAAGTTAAACGATTCAATGATATATTGTTGTCGATTATTAGAAATAGAAAAGCTGAGATTGATACATTACCTGTTGGAGAGTCTTTGAATCCGGACATGTTAACTTTGTTGTTGACTACGAATACACCTCGTGATCTTAAAATAATCACTACAGGGGATATTACACGCCCAATGACTGATGATGAGATACGTGCTGATCTCAAAGAAATATTTAGTGTTGGCATTGATACGGTACTGTATCATTATTCATTATTATCAGTGTTGTCACTGGAAGATAGGGTTGGATCGGTTTGGGCCGGCTCAGCTTGGCTCAAAAAGCCGAATCAGCCGGCTCAAGCCAGAGGCCATGGCCAAGCCGGCTTATTATAAACAGATCCCATCCCTACTGGAAGACCACTTGAAGTTAAATCAATAGTGCCACTGGAACTTTAGTTCCAGTGACACTATTGATTACTTCCATTGGTCTTCCAGTGACAACACTGATAAGTTATTATGATCCACTTTATATCAATACTAATAAATATATATATGTTATATAGACATCTGATTCGTTCTGTTATATCATATGGCATATGTGTAAGAATCCACATGAAAAAGTCAAAGTACTTAAAGAACTCGATGAAGTTCTCGGCTCTGATCCAAAGAAATCAATCCCGTTTGAATCTCTCGACCGATTAAAATATACAGAAGCATTCATTAAAGAAGTGCTACGTCTAAATCCAGTATTACCATTCCTCTGGAAGATGGCAACAAATGACGATACTCTGGGAGGAATGAAGTGGAAAGCAGGAACCTCGGTGTTTATTAATGTTTATGGAACACATACACATCCAAATAATTGGGAAAGACCTGAGGAATTTATTCCCGCTAGACATTTAGAGGAACATAAAATGAAGGCTGATAGGAATGCATACATTCCGTTTGGTGGTGGACCAAGACTTTGTAAGTATTAATATTATTGGCCAAAATACTAATAATATATATATATATATAAATAAATAATAAATATTAATTTATTTATTTATTTAAAAAAGGTCCTGGAAAAAATTTTGCAATGGCAACACTCAAGCTTTTGACAGCTTTACTTTTCCGACGATTCGATATTGAATTAGTTGATAAGAATGCGCCACTTAAAACATCATTCACCATGGTTAGACATTGTGAAGAGTTGAAAGTTAATATTCGACCCAAGATACCCATTGCTGGGTGATTATCTTTAAAAGAAAGTTACCTTATACGATGCTTTTGTGCAGGTATTAATACTTATTTTTCCTTATTGCGCCAGTTTTTGGGATCTTGTCAACGTTTTATTTTATAATAAGGTGCGATAAAAATTAAACATGTAAATTAAAAATACAATCACCATGATCACCATCTCAATTAAGAGGTGAGATTTTTAGTTAATTGCAGTTATAATGATAATGTAGTCATATGTTTATATTTGTAATGTTCTCCTTATCGGAGTTTTTTTTTTTCCTTAAAGTATCGTATTTTTACATACAAATAAAATTATTTAAGAATTTAATATATCAGATATAATGTATTTTTTATTAGTGTTAGTAAAACTTAATCTTTTAATCGGAATCGGAACTTTAAATTGTTGAGTTATCTCGGTTATTAAGTTGACTATGTTTAATAATCAGATTAATCAGATATAATTTTATTGTTGAAAGAGGTTAATCGTTTTTCATCTATTAAGAAAGAATTGAGATTACGTGTTGTTGCCTAATGACACCCTATTGTTTTCAACATCATATAAAATGTCCAAAACTTATAAACTTGAGCAGATCTCTCGGATCTTGTAGATTTTATTCTCTTTTTCACACTTTTTACCCTTGATATTCGTTAATCAAAAGCAAACTAATGTATATTTCTGGAGAAACGTTCCATTCAACAAGGAATAAAAGAGGTTAAGATAAAATTTAATAATATTCTATTGTAATTCATTCGTTAATTTTAAAGATACGATCATTAATATATATTGGCTTTGCTTAGTTAAACTTCCAAGGCACAATCGAAATCAAAATAATAACAATAACGTACAACTTAACAAAAAACGTCCTTCCATGCCATATTGGAAATCATTCGATTTTCCAACAATTGATAGTTCCCAGGTTCAATCATGGTCTCCTTCTCAACTTATCACACATTTACGTACAATGTTCACCACCAAAGGTTATTTTAAACGTGATTTGTGGACGGAATCACTTTCACAAAAGTTTTTGTCTCTGCAGATTGATGGTAATAAACTTTTGAAGATGGATCGAAGTGATTTAATAAAGATCGTTGGTTGTGCTGATGGAATAAAAAGATTGGTTATTGGGATATTGGAAGGAGAGGTGATCAGGTTGAATGGTTAGTGAGAATATATTTATAAACAAAGGTTTTATGTGTTGTGGATTTGATCGGTGATTATTATCCCTTTTAATTTTTACTGGCTTGTTAGGACGATATGAAGACGAGATTTACCATGATCCTGGTGGTGACTATAATTGTCAAAAAAATTTAAGTCTTATTTTACATTTAAGATAGTTTTTATTAATTTTATTTTGTACAGGGATCTTTAGTGGGTTTGATGCGTGCAAAACACAAGTAAACAATAATTTTAAATATTTATTAAGTTACATAAAATGGTTATAAGTAACTAACAATCGATTCGTTATTATTTTTGTAAGATTTATACACTACAAACGAAGACCGTCAATGATGACAAGTTTTTTCGCAAAGTTCTAGTTCGAAAATTAAATACAGTACCACCGGCTCACAACCTTCGTCGGTATCTTTCTAGCCCTTTAACGTTACGAATACCCATACAATCAATTTATCTTCGACTTTACCAAAAAGCAATTCCGGAAATTTTTTGCTATTTGATCCCACAAGAACAATGTTTGGATCAGCGCAATAACTTGATGACAGCACCTATGTTATCATTGCCTTTTATTAATGCAATAAGTTTACCATGTCATGATATGGTGTTATCAAATTATACAATTGTTATCGATTCCCTCATTCAAGGTACCCTCTCCGTCCTCCATTTCGGAACACGAAAATGGCTCTACATGGATCGATCATCATCATTTCACTCACCTGAAGATATATTTCGTCCAGATTGGATGTGTTGGATAAACGAACTTTTATTGGTCTTTCAAGGAATCCAACTTGCCGAAGGAACTGATTGGCAAATGGGAATATCTTTCCTTCATTCAAAAATCCATTGGAAATCAATGTACTATGGGAATTTACCATATATGTTTGCTTATATTTCCAAAGGATCGAAACTACGATTTTTCATTTTTAGTCCAAATCTCGAAATGACAACTCCGTTAACTCAGATTTCACAAGAATTTAACTTAGATTCCATAATGGATCGGTTTGGAATTATAAAAACCGTCATTAACATATACTCAATTCTTGAAACAATTTACAGAAATTGGAAAATTTATGTTTCTATAACACATATACCCTCAATATCATCACTTCATCCTTTATATCTATCCGTACAACGAAATGGTGAAACTATTATTGAATTCTTTGGAGAGTTTGTGAAAAAAACCATCTCTTCGAATTTAATGAATCAATTTTTTAAGTTTGAGACTTTGTGCGCGATGTATAGTGATACTAAACATATTAAAAATTTGGTGCATTGTGTGGATACTAATGGAAATTTTGACTTGCCTATGAGAGAAAAAGATGGTGCTTGTAGGATACTGATTCAGCCAGTCGGATACCATTATTATCCGACAGATGAGGAAGAATGGAAGAGTTGTTTGAGAACTGTGTTGGAAGTGCTTCATGACATGCATAAAGTCGGATGGACGCACCGAGATATTCACTGGGGAAATATAATGAAACATGATAGCAATTGTACCAAGAAACGAGATAAAGATAATAATGATATGAAGAAGCAAGGTTTATATAATGATGTTGGGCAAGTTACTGTTGTGAAACGAAATTATATTGATGATGAATGGCTGCTAATCGATTTAGAAATGGGTGGAAGAGTTAATGAAGTGTTAGATCTCACCCTGTGGGACCGCTGGCCTGAGAAAGCAGAAAAAGGACAAATTTACAAAGCTTGTTACGACGTATGGCAAATTGAGAGAATGTTGCATGAGGTGGGTGATAACGAATTTAAAACATTTTCCAAATATTTTTGGAAACTTAGGAATTTGTTACAAAGAGCAGCAATAGACGAAATCTCAGCTGCGGAAGCATTGAGATGCGAGTGGTTTGTTATTGATAATGAATTTATTTGGTGAATAACAAAAAAAAAGCTTAAAGTATTAAAAATATAAATGATAAGTATATATTGATATATTTTATATTTAATAAAATTATGTGTATTATACTTATTTGCTATTCAAAAAAAAAACCGATCATCGTTTTTGCCCTCGAACAATTATAAAAAATTATTTCAATTATTTTGTATCAAGATTAAATATTTGACCACAAAAACGCTAAACTCTCTTTGTTAATGTCCGATATATCGATCATATTTGACATAACATCTTTTATTTTTACTACCTCATCGGTCGCGTCTTTCCCCCGTGATATATATGTGTTACACATGGTGCTAATATTATGTGAAAAGCTTAGTCGTCGTAAAAGATACAACCTGTTATTTTCACTGACTAGAAGTAGAATAATTATTGCTTTGGTAATTACCATAAGACGTAACAATTAACATTCATTTTTTCTGTTGGAAAATGGTTAGAGATTATTTATGTGATTTGCCAAAAAAATAATAGTAAGTGGCCCACTTTATATTTCAGGGTAATGCTTAAATTTCGCGTAAAGGTAATCAAATAATCAAATGATTAAAAAATAGCAAATTTAACACTATATATACAAGATAGCTATCAAGTAGTATTATGTTGCATCACATCATAGAAGGTGTATTTATTAAAAGTAAATATATTACTTTGCCCTTCTCTTTTTTTTTAATTGAGTTAAAATTCTAAGAAAAAAAAAAAAACTTGAAAAATAATAGATTATGTAAAGTTTTTGGTTAATGAAATATTGTCCCATAATGATTTGCTTTTTTTGTGTGCTTGAGTTTTCTTTAGTGTGTAAAATGTATTTTTTGCAACCTCTATATTAAAAAAAAAAAATTATATATATATTAACATTTATCCAGAAAACAAATTAATTCATCTCTAGCTTACCTTCTCTATTGATTCTTTCCATCATTTTCGTCAAGTTTATATAAATCTCCTCAACATTTGGTCGACTTTCAGGCTGACCACTCCAACACTCTGAATATAATTCAAAATAATCATCCGGAGTACCTGGAATCCGACGTTCTCTTTTTCCAGCACATATCTCTTCAACTAATTTTGTTTCATTCGAATTTTTAAACGGAGGATATCCACTAACAAGTTCCCAATACAATATTCCTAAACTATAAATATCTGTTGATTTTGATAAACCTACAGACTTCGAATCTTCCTGTAAAAATGTAAATGTAGAAATGGGTTTTAATAATTCTGGTGCGATGTAAACTATCCCCCCTAAATGACTTTTTAATGGATCAGATTCTAGAGATCTTGTGAATCCAAACTCTGTTATTTTGATTATGCTTCTATGATCGTTAATTAATATATTTTTACTATGCTATATTATGTTTATATATAATATAATTGATTGTTAATAAAATAGAATTAATAATTTTATACTTTTTGATTCAAAATTTATTTAAAGACTTACAAGATTTCCATGAATTATATTTTCGCTGTGCAAGTATTGAATTCCATTTGTGATTTGAAGGGCGAAATCAACCTTTTGTTTCCATGTCATAAAAGAGCTATTATTTTTTAAATATTTTCTTAAGTTCCCTTTATCTGCATATTCTGTTATAAGCATATATATATTGTTTACAACATCTATATCATAAATAAATCAAAAAAAACTCTTTATATTACTATACAATTAGAATATCAATTTATTTATTAAAGATACCTCGAAAGGATAAATATTTACCATGGGTTATCCCTAAAAGTCGATTAATATTCTTACACATCTCTATATTTGAATGTATTTTTATTTCTTTTAGAAAGTCATCCAAAAAATTGTCTTGTGTCTCTTCTTTAAGATACAACTTCTTGAGAGCAACAATATTATTTGCTTTCTTCCAATACACTTTAAAACTTCTACCCAAATATCCATAATCCAATGGTGCAATTATGTTAAATTGAGAATAAGGAATGAAAAATGGTTGTTCTTTAATTACAATAGCGTGCATATCATCTATAACTGGTGTAATGGATTCCATAGGTTTTCCATTATATAAAACAAAATCATTCTCTTGATGATAAGCTATTTTTTGGTTGAAAACTGGTGATATTGGGTTATCAAATTGATCATCTGGTGAGTAGGAATTAGTAATTTTGAAATCTGATGTGGAAACGGTTTGTTTTAGGCTTTTCGATCTGGAAGGGCATTTTTTTGAAAAAGAATATAATTTATTCACATGAAGCATTGGCTTTGTTCCAGAAGATAACTTTGAATATGTCTCTTCCTCCAAAGAAAGTTTATCCGATAAATTTACTGTATAATTTTCTTTAATCACTGAAAGTTTCTCTTTCAAATATTCTCTGGAAGGTTGAACAAAATTACCTCTAACAGGAGACAAACTTCTCCTCCTGGTATTTACAGCTTGATTGCATATTTGAAAATTAGAAATTTCTGAAAAGGCTGTATTTCTAGGTTCGAAACTAGAGTAAATAGAGGGCTTTACTTCCGTATTTAAAGTTTCTGTCACATCATTTCGAGAATCATCATTTTCAAAACTCGATCTAGTAGATGAAGATTTGTACACAGACATAGTATTGTTATTCGAATGAAGTTGTGTATCCTGAGAAAATATGCCAGATTGCGTTTTTGAAGTAACATAAAGTTTATTCAATATTGCAAGAACCTCTTTTATATTAGGACGTTTCTCTGGTTTATCATACCAACATTGCGTGTACAATTGAACATAAGTCTCAGGAGTCTCATTTATAGGCACTTCTCTATTTCCAATAAATATTTCGATGCTAAGCTTATCATTAGGAACTGAAGCAAAAGGCGGCCTTCCACTTGATATTTCCCACAGAAGAACCCCAAGACTATATATATCTGATCTTTTATCTCGCTTGTAATTCGGGTTATTGTAGCATTGTGGATCGATATATTGGGACATTTCACAACCTACTGAATTTGAATGAGTTGGATTGTCACTAATTTGTCTAGATAATCCAAAATCCGCAATCATCATTGTTCCTTTGTGTACCAAGATATTTTTTGAATGCTTCAACAAAAAAAGAAAAAGAGAAGTGGAGTGTAAACTACAGGATATTTTTGATGATGCGGTAAACAAAATCAACACATAAGCGATAGCGAAAAAAATTACCAAATCTCTATGTATTATTTCTTCGGCATGTAGACATCCTAGCCCTCGCGCTATCTCTGTAGCAATGCGAAATTTATCCGTCCATTTCAACGTCTCAAATTTCGATCTTAAGAAATCACGTAGGCTTCCACCATCTGCATACTCTAGCACCATTACGTAGTGTTCACTTAGTGGATCTTTAAAATTAATAATAAGCCAGTATTCATATGATATATCTAAGGCAAGCAAATGAAGATGGAAAATGCTGAAATAAACCACAAACCTTTAATAACTCCAAGAAATTGATTAATATTGGGATGGTAATTAACTTTGCGCAGAAGTTTGAGCTGTAGTAAAGTAAGTAAACTTTGTTTATGCTAATTAAGTGCGTTAAAATAAAATAGCATCAAACTTATTATTCATATACCTCTCGCATGAATTCCTTCATTGCGACATCGTCAAACTTTAATCCTCCTTTTAGACTTTTCAAAGCCACTCTTGTTCCACGACTTTTCCAGTTGGCACTATTGCAATAAAAATTTTATAATGATGATACTCCCACATTACAACTATAAGCTTTAAATTGTTAGAATGATCATTAATTATCTACCTTCTCACCGTTGCAAAACTCCCATCACCGATGTGTTTAAAATCAATAAAATCAGCATGATCGAATATATTTATATAGTTTTCCGCTATAGCTTTTTCAAGCCATTCCTTATTTTCAACCATTTTATTATAATTATGTCTAATTTTTGATGAGCATTTAATGATGTAATTATTTATCGAGTGTATAGGAGAAAAAAAATATTGATAATTTAAATCAAAAATTTTAATCGCGAAAAAATTTTCTCTAAGATCCAGTTTTAAGCCTTTGTTTAATATATATATATATATATATTTTTTTTTTTTTTTTACGTACGCATTTACACAAAGAACGTGGCAGCACAGTTTCCAAAATCAAAGACACGCTGATCTTGTTAATACCTTGTTTCTGCTAGCATACAGTGTGTAATTATTAAACTTGCTTGTTAATGATAATATGCAATATTATGATAATTATATATCATGCTTTTAAAGACATGATTGTGGTTTAGCGTTACACCCGCAAGAAACACTGCAGTGTTTATTAATTCATAGATGCCTGCATAAAAACTAAGAAATGTGCAACTCAAGTTCCAAGTGAAATTCTGACAAATATGCACGTACGTACGTGCGTACTTGACAGTCTATAGAAATGCTAATCTGTCCTTTGGGATCGGATCCTTATAAGAATAGGTTAGCATTATACTTGCCGATAAACTCGGACAAGTTAAAAAAACAATTACCATTTATAAAAAGTTGATTTGTTAACTAATAAAAAAGGAATGGAGGCTTTCTGAGGCTGGAGCCTTATGTATCGGGTTCTTAAATTTGAAATCAAATAAAATTTATTGTACTTAAGTTCATGTTTCGAATAAAACTAGAAATATTTTTTATTACCTATTGTAAATCTAGATAACGTCTGATCTATCTTTACGTTGAAAAGATGGGTTACACTGTATGATTTTACAATAGGTAGTGTCAAAAAAAAAAGACGTACTTTATAATACTCAAATTACGCAAATGCGTCAGATAAGTCTTAATCAGAATATGACTGTCGATATGTTTTAATTCATCACTTCTCAATATTATTTACGTTTGTGCCAATCTTATTTTTTTTAACTAATTGTCTTGACAACTTAACTTCAGACGTCGTTATTAATCTTTTCATCTAGCATGATTTTTTCGTAGTCTTTTATTCAAGTGTATAAATTCTTGGTTTTACACTGTATTTTAGAGAAATCAACTTTGTGACGAGATTTTGATTGATTAACGTAATTACGGGGCGATATATTTCGTTATTCTTCTTCAGCCAATTATTCATTCGTTAGAATAAAGATTATTAATAAAAATTTTGGATGTAATTTGTTATAATATTTAAGATTTATCAACATGTATAGTTAGGACTTGAAGCATTGTTGTTATTGAACATCCTTTGGATATTCATTGGAAAAATATACACCGAATCAAATAAATAATAAGCTTAAAACCCAAAGCCTCAATTTTCATTTGGCAGGAACATCATCATGATTTTTTTTGAAAGTCAAGGCATTATTCATTGCATAGCTTATATTAATCATAAGCTGCTTATATAAAATTAAAAGTTTGACAATTAGATGTTTTAGTAATCTTAAATATATGGATCACAAAAAAGATGATTACTTGATCATATTTCAATATTACAGTTGAAAGTCTTTAAGAAAAAAGTTTTTTTGGTCTTACCTGGCAGATTAAATTATAATTATACTAATGTTCGTAATACATATATTTAATTTCGCAAATATTAATATTTTGCAAGTCATTAAAAAATATTATGCAATCTTAGGGCTGGGATTGTTCAAAAATAATTTATGGTGTCATGCCTTATGTTGTTCCAGAAATTTTTATCAGGTCAAAAATTGACACCAGATCCAAAGGCCTTTTAATGGTTATAATTTGATGAACTTGCAATAAAGATGCATTGAGTTGTGGCGAAATTTGCTTCTAAAACTCTGGTGTAAAATATGTATGTTTCCACGAAATTAAGAAGCAATTTATAGATGCTGATAAAATGGTAAGAATCTTACCAAACTGCAAACATCCGATTTATGTATGCTAGCAAATGATTATAGCTGTTTCATAAATCCTGGACACCTGACAAAAACTAGCCGAATAATTTTTTCGGCCGATCAAGTTTGTCATTTCGACATAATAGAATCAATAAATTGATACAGTAACCTCTATTAGTGCACGCTCGCTTAAACGAAATGCACTTAGAGATCAATAAGAAAAAGAGCATTTATAGGGAGCATGTATATATTTGGGGCAGGGTTTGATTGTGCATTTAGAGAGGACGTGCATTTATAGAGGGTGTGCTTATCGTTATGGAGGTTTTACCGTATATACGTAATTTAAGATCAAGTGACTACATACGCATGTTTTTGGCTGGCTGAATATGTTGTGCCTCAGATGCATTCTTGCGTCGGATGTAATCCGACGCACCTCAGAAGCTGACGCGCGAAACCTGTAAATTGGTTATCTGAAGTGCGCAAGCAGTGATTCGAGATGAGTACGTTACAATATGACGCAAAGATAGTACTCACATGTGAGCCTTTGTAATCCAAATATTTATACATAAATTATTCAATCGCGAGTCAAATCAAAACCGCAAAGCCATATATATACGTGTATTATTAAATAATTAAATGAATCATGGATTAACGAACGCTTGCAAACTTTAAATTCAATTACTATTTTTTAAAGCAATTGGTTACTTTAATTACTCTCTAGTTATTAATGAGCGAACAATCAACTTAATTAATGGAATAAAAAATTAAACCATCAACTTGATTACTAAGCGAAGATATTAAACCATAAACTAAATTATACAGATAATCTATAATGTTATTGGTGGATTTTTAGACAAGACAAAAATATCACTATCTCCATTGATGATAAAAAATAAATTAAAATAATAATAATAATAATAATAATAATAATAATAATAATAATAATAATAATAATAATAATAATAATAATAATAA